TCTCATGGTGCTGTGTTGTGTTTTTGTAGCTTGATGGACATTAGTGATGAGTACAGTGGGGAAAGGAGCAGCTTGAGCATTCTGCTGAGTATCTGAGTGTGCTCTTACAGAACAGTGATGAGGTTATTGACTTCTGCAGTGTTTAATTAAAGTGTTGTCGTGTTTCTGTCTCTCATTTGCTGCTCCGGCCTCTGATGTCTAAAATAAGGAAAGCAGTGTGCTGGATGGCTTTAAAACTGTGTGTGTGTGTGTGTGTGTGTGTGTGTGTGTGTGTGTGTGTGTGTGTGTGTGTGTGTGTGTGTGTGTGTGTGCACGCAAGTATGTTTTGGGGTGTGTTTCTGCATGCATATGTGTGTGTATGTTAGTTAGCATGCATGTTTTGTGTGTGCGCATGCTTGTATTTAAGTTTGGGGTATGTATGTGTGTCTTGATGCGTGTGTATGTGTGTGTTTGCCTGTGTTTATGTTTAAGGGCCTGTGTGTGTGTGTTTCTGTGTTTTAAAAGTGTGCATACATGTGTGTATCTGTGTGTGTGTGTGCGCGCCAGTGTTTGTGTGTTTTAAAAGTGTATGTGCATTTATATGAGAGAGTGAAAGTGTGTGTGTGTATGTATGTGTGTGAGTGTGTGTATGCATGTTCTGGTAAGTGTGTATGTGGGAGAGAGTGAAGGTCAATGTTTGTGTGGATGTGTGCCAGTTTTTGTAAGTGTGTGTGCTGTACATGCTTGTGTGTGAGTGTATGTTCACATGCATGTTTGTGTATGTATGTATGTGTGTGTGTGTGTGTGTGTGTGTGTGTTTTAAAAGTGTATGTGCAAGCATGTGAGAGAGAGAAAGTGTGTGTGTGTGTGTGTGTGCATGTTTTTGTAAGTGAGTGTGGGAGAGTGAAGAGGTCAGTGTGTGTGTGTATGTGTGTGTATGCATGCGAGTTTTTGTAAGTGTGTGTGTGTACTTTACATGTCTGTGTGTGAGATGGAGTTTGTATATATGAGTGTGTGTGTGAGAGAAAGAAAGAGTAAGAGTGCGTCAAGTTTGTGTGTGTTTGTTCACATGCATGTTTGTATATGTCTGTGTGTGAGAGATGAAGTTTGTATATATGTGTGTGTGTGTGTGTGT